TTAAATTAGATGTTCCTTAATAAAAATTAGCGTTATAATATTCCTACGCGTTTTAAGTCGTTTGAGAATCTTAAAAGACTTTTTCAATTTTTTGCTTTTAATTCAGTGACATTTTACGTGATTAAACGTGGGGTGATCGCGACTTTCTACATGTACGTTATCATCCTACTCGAACAAGAAGTATCTGTATATATTCGTGAGATCTTCTCGATCGATCGTTGTTCATAGGAGCGCGTAAAAGCGCGCACACGTGTGCGCACCATCTCGCGTTTTACGTCTATTCTCCGCTCGACGAACGGGGGTTAAATGTACAGGCCTTAAATGTCTGTTTGTATTTATAGAGCTATGACATGTACTTCGGGGAACCTCTCTTTTCGACGATCTTCGAGGACGATATGCGCCCCTGATGTCGCGTTTCCTCTTAGCCAGTCTCTTTCTTCGCGAGTAGGCATTCGTTCTATGAACAAATCAAGTGACGTCACGACGTTCTTATATTCTTTCTTATCGTCAGATCGGCATTAGTCATGGCGGATAGCAGAAATAGATATCAGATCGCGCTTAAAATAAAGCGCATTTTAAGCGAAGCGAAGTGTATTTTTATTTCCCTTACAAAGATGTACTTAGAATTTGTGTGTTCTTCTTACATAATTGATATTTTTAGAAATTATTACAAAAAAAGACAAATATATTTATATATGTCTTCCATGTCAAAAAAGTCATTTATGTAAATTTCATAAATTATCGTGATAGTTTTGCTATTTAAGAATATATATATATGTATCTAGTAAATATAATGTATATTAGAGGTCACTATTGCTAATCCAAATATAGATTACCTTGAATTTGTTATTATTGAAAATGGATAAGAACATACCCTCGGAGCCATTGACCATATCATTATGAAAGTTCAGGATTATATATTTTTTTTAGGCGTAGCTTTTTCCCCGGATTTTTTTATACAGTAGTTTATATATAATCACATTAACTTATAGGAAATATCAATTATAAAAAATATGTTTATTAAGGCAACCGCGAAGATTATGTATTTATAATGAATTTTCTTATATAAGCTTTTGGTTTGAATAAGAAATTTAATATATAAAAGAGCAACACGTGTATTACTTTTTTGTTTCTTTATAT